AAAATAGTGAAATAAAAGTAGGTGAGAATGTAGCTCTAAGTTTTCTTATCTGCAAGGCTGACACAAGCCTCGGTCTACTTAATCCACCCTCCTGTCCTCCTGGACCAATTTCCTCACACTTTCCATGGAATAGTCCGCAGACCTGGGTGTGCTGCGTGTTTATTTGGCTGGGGTTCTAACCCTTGAATATTGGTAAATAACATGACTAGATCTTGAGAGTCTACTCTTCTTGTTAGTGTCTTATTCAGGGTCTTAACTAGCACCGATAGATTCTAGTTTTACTTCCCAGCCGCTGTCTCTCCTGGGAGCTACTTGACTTCACAGCACAATAAAGAACCCCAAGCCATGCTGTCTCACATTTTTCTTCTGAGTCTCCACCAGTCTGATCAATATCAGCACGGTTGGCACCCCACAGCTAGAAGTTTGCCCTGACTCCTCTCCCTTGTTGGACCGTGTTATATATCCAAGGAGACAACAAAACTACACCTTCAAATCTCATCACCTCCGTCAAGTACTGGGGTTGCTATCCTGGTTCTGGTCACTGCTTCTCTCCAGCAGCCTCTTAGCTAATTTCCCATGGTTCATTGATCAGACCACCCGATCACACGGCAGCCAGAATGGCGTGATAACACATAACTCGTGTTAGCCGCGGACCATCTGGTGATTCACTCTCATATACGGAGTTAAACTCAAAGCTCTTTGCCAGCTTGAGAAGATCCACCGAGATCTGGATGGTTTTAAGCCCATCTCAGGACTTTGTCTGGCTTCTTCAGCGGTGGCCATCTCCTTTATGTTACAGAGTATTCCATCTGAATTTCTGGCTCACTCTGTCTTTACCAATATATCTGTAGACCTCCACCCTCCACCCCCAGGTTTCATTCAGAACGAAGCCCAGGTTTCTGCACTGCTGCAGGACCTTCTCATCGGGAACATTATTTAAAGCATAGCTGAGGTGTTTACCATGTACCCTTGAGGATCCAAATTTGGATCCCCAGTACCCACATAAAACTCAGTACAGCAGCATGCCTCTATAATTCCAGTGCTGGGAGGCAGACAGAGGAGGATCCCTGGGATTTGCAAAGCTAGTAAATTTGAATGTATGAGTTCCAGGTTCCGTGAGAGGAATCAAGTGGAGAGTGATAGAGTGAGACATCCACCATTTGGTCTCAATATGTACAGGGATGCACACAAAATACACAGTAACTTACACACACACACTGTTTGCCTCCTTATATATTTACCTATGTAAGATTAGATGTTTAGTGTCCATGTGCCGATTTTTTCCCCTCCCTATGGAGATAGCTTTACAAGGGTAAGATTCTTGTGTTTTGCAAATATTTCACCCAGACCTAAAGCATTCAGCAGAAACCCTTGCTGAATGCATGTATGTGGGAAATAACATTTTCCAAAGATCACAGTATCACCGTGTCTGGAGCGTTCTACAAATGTTGATTTCCCTGTGTCCCTCAGTCTCCAGGACCAGGTGGACATAAGTCCTTTGTGCAGCTCCTTCTTTCAGAGTCACTATCCGTAAAACATTAACATGACCACGCCCTGTATTTGGGATTTACAGTGTTAGTGCCGCAAGATCCTGCCATAGGTTGTCTCAGTATTGACAATTTATAGAATTTGGGAACAAAGAAATTGTATTCGACCTGAGCTTCCAGAGAAGGCGAATGGTGCTAGTCAGACATCTAGTTGGAGTAGTTCTTCAGCAGGGTTTCTGTCTGCCTGGCTTATTGGTTATCAGGAAGGAAGTGTGGTCTTGTGCTCACCTGGTGCTAATCCCCTCCAGATTATCCAGAGCTGTACAGTTGTTGGAAAGAACAAGCCGTTCCCTTCATGACCCTACACCAAGTGTCTTTTAAAGCTGACAGAGTTTTTCCACTCTTTGATTATAAGATTTCTATGTTGTCTCTTCAGTTCTTTATGGATGTTCACCCTCGTTTTTCCTTTGGCCAGCTCTTAGATCTTTTTTTTCCTGTAAATTTATTTTATTGGCTTAATAGCATGATTTTAGAGTTCTAAATCTTCCTCCATAAGATTCTTCCTCTCATTGATTGAGACATGAAATTACACTAAGAAAATCTGAGCCTTTTAACATAAAACTTGGTTTATGGATGACACCCAAATGTCCCTAAAGTAATGAGTTTTTATCTCCTTGACTGACTGATGGCTCTGGGATGAGGGAGGCAACAGAGTTTGACCTAGAGGTCTCAGAACACTTCTTCCCACTTCAACTCTCACACATCAGTATCTGCCACCTTCCAATTAATGAGTTATGTCTCGATCCATACACATCTACAAGATGAAACCACTCATAAGAACTGTTAGTCCAAAGTATTCACAGAGATGGGAATTGTAAGGGTTAAACTCAAGTTTCTAGCCACCTGTGTGTGGCAGCAGACAGCTTTCCTTGCCATCGTTCAAAGCATAGGAATTTCTGTCAGGTAGTTGCTACCTCAAAGTGCACTACACACTCTTCCAGTAGAGGAGCCCGCCAGAGTTAACTTTCCAGTGCCTATCTGTGTCTGTAACCGGATCTCTATTTTATACCTTACACTTAACAGAACTGTTTAAACATGGCCTTAATCATGTGTAGTGAATATATTTTAAATATGTAGCTGGTTAAATAGTTTGATTTTAACTGGTGATTATTGCATATCCTGTGTTCTTTTACACTTCCAAACAGGTTGAATTTATTACTAATCCTGATAATAGAGATGTATTCTGTATACTGAAGCCAAACACACAGTTCTGAGTGTAAATGACTTGTCCAGAAAACGTTCTTGAGTTGTTTTTCTTTTTTATATGGGTTAGAAACTTGCAGGTTAGAAATGCTACTTATAAAAAAATTATTTCACTGAATAACTTCTGTGGAAATGGGTCAATAGGAAACAAACGCTGTTTTGCTTTGCCTTACTTTGTTTGAAGGAGCCGGATCTCAGTTTAGACATTACATATGACATGGCAGTAGGAAAAAGAACTGTGACTGTTCATGGGTAACAGTTCATCAAGGAAAAGTGGCGGGGTCACACTGCCCATGACCTGGTGGTTCCTTTACCTGTGGTGTTGTTTCTTTGCAAACTTAGTCAGTATGAATGAGTTCAAAACACAGACAGGCAAGTAAACTTGCTCACCACGCAAGCTGGGACCTGTGTAAAGGTGGAGGAAAGTTGTCTTCTGCCAGGGAGGCTTGCAGACACTCACACTACAACACACACACACACACACACACACGCACGCACGCACGCATGCACGCACTTACGCATGCATGCACAAATAATGATCATTTTTAATTTAAAAAAATTCTAAGCCTATCCATCATGGACTACACTGGTGCTTTTCCTTCTTAAACGATAGAAATAAGTAGAGGCCACCCCAGAAAGACAACAGCAGGTGAACTAGCAGTAACCAAATGAAATAGAGTCAACACAGTGCATTCAGCCACAGAGCAGGGGGAGAGACGCAATTGCAGACAAGGTGTCAGCAAGCAGGAAACAGCATAGCACAGTTATGTTCCGAGAGGACATAAAAGCATGAACTAAGGGGGGGGGGCTAATTGGGAAATGCTTCCTCGGGGCAGCGGAAGCCGTTCTGAGTCTGGAGGAAGCAGTGGGGTTGAATTAAAGAGAGGAGTAGGGAAGGAAGCCAGGATGAAGGCACAGGATGACCTACCCAGAGAGGAAGAGACAGACCAAGCCTCATTTAAGGAAAAACAAATGGTGTGTTTACCTCTAGTGGAGGCTCCTTGTGAAAGCCATGCCAACTTCTTTCTAGAGAGGCTTGGCAAGGGCGTAGGGTGAGGCAGTGAGAGTTTTAAAGGAAACCGGAGTGCTTATTGTGCAAAACTACAGGGATCTCTTAGCGTAATGTCACTACGATATTTGTTTTCTAAGTCTAATTATTAATGAATTGCTAGTGAGTAGCCTCCCCCCGTCAAAATTAACATCCAAACGTGTGCTCTCCCTCCTGGCTGCTGGTCTTCCTTCTTTGTATTTAGCTGTAGCGAGTAGACGGTGCCTGATTGATATTTATTCCTGGCTAAAATTCTGCATAAGTCTTTGAAATATTATCCTGCCTAGCAAACTTCAACAGTTGCTAATGTCATTCAAAAATAGTCGAGCAAAATATGTTTGTGAAACACACGGCTCTTACTGTCAAATTATTTCCCAAGAGAAAGGAAAATACCGTGGTATTATGATGTTTATTGAATAGAAATCCATAAATGTTGTCACGGATTTCATCAAACCGGTGCCTAAAGTAAGAGGGAAATCTGTGCCCTCTGTTTTAACGTCTGTTTTGATGTCAGTTTCCACATGAGCCTCCCCACTCAGCTGTCCATGTGGGACAGCCACCCGTCACAGCCCTCTCAGCCTCAGATAACATAACCAGAGCACAACTACTTTGGAGCAATGCAATTATGAATTTCTTGAGGGGGGAAAAGGGAGTGATAAGTTCAGGGAAGTCAGCTACCATGGTACATGGGTAGTTCCGAGCAGCAGAAGGGTTAATCAGATTTTCATTTTAGATAGTTGCCTTAGTAACAATCAGAGAGCCCAGACTGTATCTTTCCCATTTGTGGAGAATGTTTAGATTTACACAGTAGCTTAGCTTATTATATACCTGCCTTGATTGATGGATAAGACTTATGATTAAAAACAGAATAAGATTCATTCTTATAATGTTGCAAAGAAGAACCAGACATTGAAAATGACGCAGGGGAAATGGCTGAGTTTGGACCCTGGTGTGATCAGGGTTTCTAGAGAAGTAAAAAATCGATGAAGGTCAGCATTTTTGCTTAAACTTTTAGTGAAAGTAAGTAGAAGGAACCAGAATTTTGCATTCCAACCTCAGTTTTATCTCAAATTACACTAAGCTCTCAAAAACCTGTTTGCTTATATTGACTATTCAGTGATAGTCACTTTTCACTCAGAAATGCAAAAGTAAATCATATACAAAAGTAAATGTTTTCAGAATATCCAAAAGGAGGGCTAGTGTTGCTGAGCATGTTGAAATGCTTTATTTATACCACTGTCCAAATAACAAGAAAACAAACTTGACACCCTGCTTTACACATGGCCCCAAACCTCACCTGTGGAGGCAGATTTCCTAAGGGCAGAGAGAGGCATTCATTCTGTTGGCCGGTGCAGGGCTGTCTGGAGCAGTTGCAGCCAATTAGTGACCAGTGTTATGCAGCGAGTCCATGAGACAAGTCGAGGTTGCAGAGTTTAGCACTTGTAGAGATCACTCTTTGATGCAAGGTGTCTACAGTTCTTGGATTCCGTCCAGTTCCAGGAAGTACCCTGCTAACCACTGACCCTATTCACAGCCTCTCAAAAGTCAGCCTCTGATGGCCACACAGTTCATACATTCTTTATAGACAACTTCTGACTTACTTTTGCTTATTGTAGTAAAAATGCCCTTCACGATTCTCCGGAGTCTCATGTTTAGACAAAAGAACCACTGTCTATACTTATGAATCAGACGAACAAACATACAAACACTAGGAAGGTTTTTGAGAAAATATGTATTCAGGTTTAGAGAAAGGATGAAAAAAAAAGTTTTGAAAGGAAAAAATCAATTTGTAAATATAGATATATATGTAGCATGGCAGTCCTTCTTTCGTTACTATCAGTTCGATTCTATATTTTTACTGAGAACTGATCCACTGGATAAATGTGTGTATGTGTACAAATGTCTTATGGTGAACAGGAGACAAAAATGGCAGCCAGGTAGAGGAGGTGATACTTATAAACCTAGAACTCCTGAAAATGAGGAACAGGAGTTCCAGAAAGAATGAGCTACATATAGAGAGAATGTTTCAAAAAACTAAGGATGATAGCATATGAGGAGGGGAGGGGAGGGGAGGGGAGAAGGAAAGGGAGGGTGGAGGAGAGGAGAAGAGTGAGCTAACCAGCCTGTTTCACAAGTACTCAATAAGATTCCACACTTCTTAAACCAGCTGTCCGTCATGGGGAAGTTGAGACATATAAACTCCGAAGATCATGTTGAAGAATTTGGGAACCTAAAAGAGAGGGACAGAGATGGGAAAGTCAGAAGATAAATCACAGAATTTTCCCTATGACCAGAAGAATGGGAAAAGATTCTCCCTCTATCCGCTTAACACAAAGTCCTTATTGGTGGATGCAAGGATTTATGTGTAATTTATAGCTAGATTAAGAGATTAATAACCTCCTTGTCTTCTAACCTTGAGAGTTGGCCATTCATTTTGTTGGGGCTGTGTCAATTCTTTGCTCTGTTTAAGTAATACGTTATAAAGGATAATAATCATCAGGTCCAGGATTTCCTAAAGGGTTACAAACTGAAAGTTGAGAAATACTAGTTTGGGTAAATGAAGATATTCTATCTGCTGTATTTCAAGAGAGAATTTTGCCAGCAGAGGCCAATTTCCATTGCACATAGTGAAAGTGCATTTATTTTCAGATGTGCTAGGTTAGATTATAAATGAAGACGTCAAATTGAAAACTAAATACCCATAAATATTGAGGGGCCATGGGGTCTGCAGCCTGCTTTGTGAAGTTCTTGGTAAAGGAGACAAATGTATTGGAGTTCTAAATGTGCATTTTCCAACGAACTAAGGGAGTTCGTTTGTAAGTATTACTCATTCACAATGTCTTTTTTCTGGTGTAAGAACATCTTCAGCATACTCATCTAGTATTGCTGTCATAATGATGTCATACCAGCCAACACTGAAAAATAAAACCAGATTGTTGAACAAAACAATCCATAAATACTTGGTAAGAATGTGAAACTTTTCTTAAAATGTTCAATAATATATCTAAACTTGGCTGTTTCTTGGAAAGTCTAAAACTTTCTTGTCTCCTTTGCTCTTTATTTCTGTGCATTGAAACTGTCCATTTGTAACATTTTAGCATGTGAATCCAGATATTGGAAAGAAAGGAAGGAAGGAAGGAAGAAAGAGAAGGAGAGAGGGAAGGACGGAGGGACAGAGAGAGGGAGAGAAAAAAAGACAAATGTTCCCCAAAGCCGAAATAAGGTCCTTTTCATTTTAGTGAAGAAATAATGGGAAGTTTATTTTAAAGAATTAATCGTGGCTAGGACTGTGGCTCACTAGGCAGAACGCCTACGCAGCAAGCACACATCACTGAGTTTAATCCCCAGCACTGCTAAACTGTGCATTGTGGGACAGGCATCTAAGGTGAGCATTCCTGTGGCTGTTATCCTTGGGCTACCTACCATGTGAGGTCAGCCTGGGCTACATGATACTGCATCTCAAAAGTTAAAACAAAACAAAATAAGTAACCAAAAACAGTCAACAAAGGATCACTTTCCCATCTTCCAAAATCATGGAGGAAACTTGGATTATCACCCACTACTTTGACACATCAGACTACTGTCTCAAAAACGTCTTGCTCGGCACCGAGATGGATGTTGTAATTGGTTCTCTTACTTCTTCAGCTGAGCTGTCAGTTGCGTGGGGAGTTCTCGTTTCCCCGGTGGTGCATCCTCCACAGTCCCAAATCCTCAGACATCTTAGAAGTTCCTGCTCTGCTGCGAATTTTACCACACTTTTCTTGCACCGTGAACGACTTGCATGCTATCTTTTGACGGCCTGATTTGCCTGAGCTAACGTAGCCTTCAGCTGACTTAGGTCATCAAACAACGTATGCACTAAAAATTAGTGTGTGTACAAGATAGGTTTTCAAACTGGTTGCTTATTGCACCAACAGAGTCAATGACTGCCGAGTAATAAGCAGTGATGCTGAGTGAGATGTGGAGAAAGGAAGAGATTGAGAGGGTCAGGAGGATGGAGAGGGAGTGCTAGGGTTAAATGAAGGAGAGAGGAAAAATAGGGGTGGAGGACAGAAGGGAGACAGAGATGGGAAAGGGAGAGAGAGAGACAGAGAGAGAGAGAGACAGAGAGAGAAGGGGGCTATAAGGGAGACTGGGAGAGAAGATAACAAAAGGTGTTTGGAAGGGAAGAGGAGTCATGGAAAACACAGTTATAAACAATGTGAATCATTACTGGAGCCATTAATGAAATAATTACATCAAGAGCTAATGAACTATAACCTCTAATCAAAGATGGACGGACTTTAGCTAAAGAAAGCAAGAAAACGGATATTGACAAGAACAAGGAAATGAATCTGAAAGAGAAAAATGCTGAGTGGTTTCTTTGGGCTTTTCTGGGAGGTAGGGCTAAGAAACAGATGAAACCAATTCCAAGATGTCTGATTTGCCTAACTGAAGAGCCTGTGTTTTCCCAAGTGTCCTGCTCCATGTGACTCGTGTGTGGACTCAATCCTTGCAATGGCCCTTAGTCTCCCTGCTTACCTACTCTCTATAGACGAGGGTACTCAGCTTAAGACTCGGTAAGCAATGAGCAGAACTTGGACACATTCCATGGTAAGGCAATAAAAATAGTACCATGGGAACATGTTAGACTTCCAGAATATCAAATCAAATCATTCTGCTTAGGAAATAGAAGGGAAAGTTGCATCAAAAATAGAAGTTAAGAAGACATGATCATTTTTTTAGGTGGGAAGGGATTTTAACTCCCAGCTAGAAGCCCAGCTTCGCTTAGCAAAGTTGAAAGGAAGTGCATCCGCTTCACAACTGGAGACATGGGGTAAGACTTCCGTGATTAAATCTTTGGAAACTTGGGATTGGAAAGAGATGATCACTGCCTGCCATTCATGCTCTGCAGCCTGGCCCTTCGTCTACCTATTTCAACACAAATCCTTGTTTTTGTTTTGTTCCCCCCCCAAACAATTAATTGCTGGGACATGCATTATTCTATAAGTATCAGAGATACAAAATGTTATTTAATTATTACCTGGGCCTCTAATCCTAGATTGTTTTAATTCTGAGCCCTCAAAAGTGTTTTCCTCCTGTGTCTTGAAATATTTGCCTGTCTTTGACTTAACACTTTTTACAGATTTCCCAAAGAAAAGAGATTTCTTCTGTTTTTTTTCAATGCAATACCAATCCACCAGTAATCTTACGAAGTTTGCACATTTCATGTAAAAGTTTCAGCGACCCACCCCTCCGTAAAAATCATAGTCATACTTCATGTGATGTAACAGTGTCTCGAAAGTAGCTGAGAAATTCTAATGCCTTGCCTTTGTTTACAGATTTTAAGATCATTATGCATAGTCTGATGCATATGCATAATTATAATTATGCATTCATGCTGTTACCTGAGCTGGCTTAGTTCAGAAATAGTGGGAAGCGGCTATCTCGAAGCTACAGGCTGCTTCTCATCACTTAGATTTTGATCAGAGCTGTTTGTTGAGTCTTATTGGAACACTGGCTGTCTCGGCCCCAGTCCCAAGGCTGGACCCTTCTTTTATCAGAAAGTTTCCTCTCCATCATTTCTCCTCCAACTCTCAATCTTTACTTTTAAGACAGGGAGGGGAAAAAAAGCTACCAGATAATTTGGTTTTGTTCCATGTGTTTAGTCTATTCACACAAGTTAAAGGAGAGGGATTTAGAAAAAAAATTTGTCAGTTTATTTATACTCCATGTTTAGCATTCTACATTATAAATGAAGATACTGTCATTTTTCATGGGTGAGACTTAACTATCCAGTGGCCTTATCATTAGGTTTACTTTAGCGTTGCTTAAATTAGTCTGCTGCAGAATTATCAAACTTTCTTCCACATGTTGTTGAACAGTGTGATTTGAGAAAAAGAGGGAGTTGCTCTATGTGGTGTCCTTATCAACATTTGAAATATATTCATCGAGTGGCTATCTCGGGAACATGCTTTCTGAGGCACTGGAAGGGTTATAGTAACAGATCTCACTTAGAAATATGCCTCCCTCCAATTCCCTAAAAGCCTTGAGTATTAGAAAAGAGAATTTGAGTTAGTCAGCCTAACATGAAAATATGTGCTTAAGTTCAATGCCAAGTCTTAGCCGACAGAGGACATTTTGCCCACAAATATGACATACAAGCATGCTAATGTACTCACATATACAACATACACACACATGCACACGTGCACACGCGCACACACACACACACACACACACCACGTATAAACATGCACCACTTTGCCCTTTGAATTCTGTTGTTGCTGCTACATTTCTCTTTCACACAGAACTAGATTCCAGAGCTCTGTGTCAGGGTGAATTGGAGATACAGTTTCATGATTCTCAGGTGTGTGAAAGTCCCGTGAAAGAACCAATAGGAGTTTGCGTGCCTACTGGAGGGATTCCAGCCTTGTTCCGACAGAGTGAAGCACTCTTGCTCAATATATTTTTACCACCAGTCTGATTCGTTTTGTAAATGTTGCGGAGGACACCTTTGATTTGTATTTAACACCAAGAAAAGGAGCAAAGTTAGAAAGGACTTATTGAGCAACCTGGGCAAGTCTGTTTCCTGAGTTCCTCCCACAAGGAGGAAGAAGGGAATCCTAGGGTCAGAAGTAGCTCAAACCATCGAAGAGTCCTGGTTCTTCAGCTCATAATAATATGATTAGGGAACTCATTTCTGGTGACTTAGGGAATCCAACCACTTACCAACCATTAGAACCATGTGTTGTCGCATATTATTTTAAGGTGTGTTACTTTTGTGTACGCTCTAGAACATTTGTTTAATGATGCAAAGATGTGTTTGATTAAATAAAATCCACCTGCAGTCAGGAGGCTGGTTCAGCAACTAGCTGACAGGAGATTGTCGGGAGAAGCCAAGTGGAGAAAACTTTATAACAAAGGGAGAGAAAAAGCACAAGGACTTCTTGGGAGAAGCACAGAGGTGAGCTAGGTGAGCTGCTTGCTATTCAGCCTCTCTGGGAAGCAGGATTCTACCTCAACCTTTTAATCTTGAGTTTTTTAGCAGGACAAAGATTTAAATAAGTTTCCTTAGTAGCTTTGAAAGAGTCAGTGCCTAGCGGATGCTGGTAGCTTCGGAGTCGCAGTTGCCGAATAGGATAGCTGTAGCATAAAAGCCAGCAATAATTAAAAAAGAAAAGCAACAACTAAACTCAAGTTTAGTGAATGTGCACTTAAAAATTGTGGAAATGATGTGAAAGAATGACACTTCATTGGAAAAAGTCAGGGTCTCCTTAACAATGGGAGACTGTATTTTGATTTGGACTTGCTTTCATTTTGTGGCAGGTGACAAGGGAGACAGGAAAAAACATTAAATAAGTACTTCTGATTAAGAGAATCACATTTGCTAGGTGGTGGCGGCACACACCTTTAATCCTAGCATTTGGGAGACAGAGGCAGGCGGATCTTTGTGAGTTCAAGGCCAGCCTGGTCTACAGAGTGAGTTCCAGGAACGGCTCCAAAGCTACAGAGAAACCCTGTCTCAACACTCTACCCTCCAAAAAGATAATCACATTTAAGACATGACACCAGCATGAAATACGGCACAAAATCACATCTTCATAATGGTCTTACTGCATAAGGAATTCTCAAGTTAGAGTTGAAAGTGTAGAAGTGAGATTTAGGAATGCAATACCCAGAATTTTTTTCCAACTGCTTCCCTAATGCCTTACAAACCAGATTTTAGGTCTTCTGACCTAATAAAACTATTAGGGGAAGAAGTCAGGGGAGAGGGGAGTGATTATGACTGTGACAATGTTTTATTATGAATTTTAAAAGGCTAGTTGAAAGTATATTGAAAGATTTCAGGATAAGGAAATTGCTAAATGTTCAGTGATATAAGTAGAGTTAACCAAATGTAAACATCATATAGGTATATACTACATATTAGATAATACCTCTTGTCATTAACAATAGATATTTTTGTGCTTTAATGCATAAGCTAAAAAGTAAAAAAAAAGTCTATGAAATTTAGACTATCGTTTTGAAAGTACTTTGTCACAATCTTAAGTTTTATTTATTTAGTTACTTTTTTTAATTGGGCTGTACATTTTTCCTCTCTCCCCTTCCAACCTCTCCCCAGTCCCCAAAACTCCCAATTTACTCAGGAGAACTTAGAAATTTAGACTATCTTAACAAAAAACTATTTCTTAAGTAAAGTTTTATTATAATGCAAGTTATTATTCAACTAACAGAATTGTCACTATAAACATGGCAGTGATGAGGGTTTTTTTTTTTTTTGGTTTTTTGAGACAGGGTTTCTCTGTATTGTTTTGGAGGCTCTCCTGAAACTCGCTCTGTAGACCAGGATGGCCTCAAACTCACAGAGATCCGCCTGTCTCTGCCTCTCTAGTGCTGGGATTAAAGGCGTGTGCCATCAACACCCGGCGATGAGGTATTTTTTGTTTTGCTCCAATTGATAGAGGATCAAGTGAGTAAACTCTTATACATATACTCTGTTATGCATTATTCTGTTGATACTGGGTGGTATAAATTCAATAGATATTAGACCTTATTTTGTGAAAAGGTTTCACATAGTCCTAGCTGGCTTTGATCTTGTTATTTAACCAAGGCAGACTTAGGATTTCTGGCAGAAATCTAATAATTTTTCCACATTTTGTCCCATTCCTCAAATGAATGCCCATATTAAGTGTTAGAAATACTTTGTATTTTTCTTGTTCAATTCAACATTCACCGCAGCCCCAATGCATCAGTAGGACTTAAAGAAGAGAACTGATTCTCAGAGAGCCACACTTGCCTGACCAAATCCACACCTCAAGCAGCCAAGTGGGAAAGTTGGGTTCAGACTCAAGCTGGCTCTCTAGCTGCTATGGTGTGTTTCACCAAGTCTACAAGGGCGTGAACCAAGATTCCTCCTTCTTACCTTCGTCATTTTTACTACATCCTAGAAACATGACCTTGTGAGCATTAAGTGACTAGTATCTAACTTACAGTTGAACATTATGCTTTCAACATTTAGTCTAAAGAACAAGCCTTGGCACTAATTTTTTCACATCTGCTTTATTTCTACCCAGTGCTTCTCATCATGGGAAACTTTTGACTTTCAGATTAAATTCCAACTTTGTCCAGCAGGAGAAAGGGCTGTGCGTGGGTTATGGTGCAACCCACCTGTGGCCAAAGCCATCTCATCTAAAAGTATACATACTAGATAAACCCTTTCAAGTAGATAGGCGGTATATCCAAAGGTTCTGAAGAAAGGAAATGTTCTGCACTGCCAAAGGCTGACTAGCCTGTCCTCAGTTCCGATTGCACACAACAGCATCATCAGGGAATACGTGAAGCCACCCATGTTTGTTAAGCAACAATTGCACACCATAGGAGGTATCTTATTCTGTGTATGTGTATTCTTGTATAACCAGTCCAGCCAGTATCTTGAACCTCATGTCATCCTGGCTCTCATCATGAATTCTGCTTATGAATGAAATGCTTATATAGGCTATTTTTTATCCAGTATAAGATATAATCATCTCTACAAGTCTAAAAATGCCTACAGTCATGAAAATACAATATTAAAAAGTATTATCCATTTTTCAATATTTTATATCACTAAGTAGACCACGTTTGGTCTGTTCCTCTTACTTGATGACTAGTACTGATATTTAGCATCTCAACTAGACTTACAAGACCCCAAACTGTGCAAATGCGAGAAATAATTCACCACAAAAGCTATAAATTTCACAGCTCAAGAAACCCTGAAAATTATTAATGAGGCGCCATGCAATTAGCTTCTACAAAGTGCAGCAAGACATCATGCATAATGTAAAACAGAAACTGCTAACCACTGGTTCGTGGAAGATCATTTAAGCTAGCTTGGATGGGCAGGAAGAGCTGATATTAGGCATACTTCCTAAGACGATCCTCAGCACTCTCACACCATGCAGAGAATTCAACTTTCTGTAGATTACTAGGGGAAAAAAAACAAAAAACAGAAGACAGTTCATGGTTAAGGAAGTTTCTAGAAATTAGTACTTGGATGAGTTATTTAGCTCTTTAGACTCTCTGGGTATTTATCATTATAAAATAGTTATAGAGATATTTTATGGAATTGCAAAAAATCAGACAATGTAGCACCTAAAATTTTGACAGATAACTGCTGCATACATTAGAGAAATATGTCATTTTTTGAATCAGCCAAAATTATTTTACTGGGAATTAAAGATTCTGAGAAAACACATTTCTTTAAAGAGAAGTAGAAGCTAACATACCCAGTACTTTTAACATACATTACATGTATGAACTCAGTTTTTAAAAAATAACCCTGTACCATAAACACTTTTGTAATTTAAGTTTTTAGTGTGTGTGTGTGTGTGTGTGTGTGTGAGAGAGAGAGAGAGAGAGAGAGAGAGAGAGAGAGAGAGAGAGAGAGAGAGAGAGAGAGATTGTCTTCATGTCTGTGTGGGCTTCACTAGTTCACTAGCATGCATCACATGCATCAGACCCTATGGAACTGGAGTTATAGACAGTTGTGAGCCATCCTGTGTGGACACCAGGAATGGAACCTGGATCCTCTGTAAGAACTGCAAGTGCACTAACTATTGAGCAGTCTCTCCAAACCCATAAAATAATCAATTAACCAATTTAATTAATCTTGGTAATTTCTACAAAGTCACACACTTCCCTAAGGGATGGGCATATGGTGTTCACTCAATCACTTGCCTCCCACATACAAATTTTTAAGCCACCTGTAAATCATTAATTAGCAAAGTGTATGAGATTAACTAATGGACATATACTTAAAATATACATATTCATCTGGCTATTGTCATGGTTAATATTGATTGCTGTCTTGGCAGGGTCTACAGTCATCTAGGGAAAAGCGTCTGGCAGAATAAAAAGGCATACATTAATATACTTGGTCTTAGCAAAAGGCTGAGAAGCAATAAGCTGGTATTTAATAGACATGGGGATACATAACTGAACTCCAAATATCTATCTTGAAAGATCATTGTGATTAGATTGGAGATCTATTAAAATATCAGCCATGTCTTATGGTATTTCATTGCTACACATGAGAAACTTGGTGGTTTCAGCTGAATTGTAAAGATAGCCTCCTATCTCTCACTAAGCACGCTCCATCCCTAACATAGACTAGCAATCGTTTCTCATCTGTGGTTACACTGTCATTTGGTCATGGATCATGGAATGTGCATTGCAACTTCCAAGTGTACCAATCATAGGCTTAAATATAATTATCTTGATTATTAATATTGATTTAAGTAATCTGTGTGAATGCTACTTAACTATTATTGTTAATATATCGTGAGCATCTGGGGGAAATGTAAGTCATCTGTCTCTGCATTCTTGAAGTTTTCTGAATAAAGCATGTCAGTAAATTTCTGCACATAGGATGACTATAAATAATTTCCATAAAGGCCCCAAATGATTATTCAAATAACTGAGCAGTAACCTTCTCCAAACAGAAACAATTCAGATAAGGACAAAGGCACATGTGTTTGGCTATTGCTAATTGAAATGGTTTTACACATAATGCTCTGTTATTGACATTGCAGAACCCACATTTAGATAACACAAACACATTCCTTCTGAACCTCAAGATAATTTACATGTAACTGACAGCCACAAAACACTAATATTTGTACCCACATACTAAACTTCAATAGATACCTTAGTTGGCCAGTTTCACCCAATTTAATCTGGCTCTCCAGCATATACATTGATGCTTCTATTTGCAACTCACTTTTTCAGAGAACATGATAGATTAAGGACAGGTATGGTGGAGCATACGAGAGACTGAGTACAAAACATCCCCAAGTCCTGGCTGGGCTACTTAATAACCTTGTCTCAAAAAGAAAAGAAACAATAGCCAAGAAGAAAGGGAGAAAGAAAGGGGGAAGGGAGAGGAGAGGAGTGGGAGGGAGGGGAGAGAGCAGAGAAGGAAAAAGGGAAGGAGGGAAGGACAGGGAGGGAGGAAATAAAAATATAGGATAGAGAATTGAAGTGGAGTTACTAAAGTGTAATTGTCTCCTGTGACTCATACAAAATATATTACTAATAAATAACAATACTTTTTAAAAATTCATGTTCATTCTTTCTCATTAAAAAATGCCACTGAAATTTTGTAGCAACAAAAAGTGTATCACATTACAAAAATGTATCCAGATGCAATATTAACAAAGACTGTGCTAATCTGACTTCAATGCATGCATGCTCTTCCAGCTCCCGAGGTAGGGACATGCAGAAGAGAGTCTGGGTGTTAGAAACATAGGGTGCTAATGCTTACTTCGTATCCTGCTCCTACTATCTTCAAGTGGGAAAGCAAGGTAACCCCTTCAGTGAGGTTGACACTTGATCCATAAAGAGCAGCTTTTCAATAGTCTTTCTGTGTGTGTTGGTTAGGTAAAAATATTCAAATCCACCATCATCAAAGCCTTTTAGATACTCGAGTCCTTCCTAACATCCTCATAAACAAATTGTCATAGAATGTACAGAAGCTTGACTCAACTACTCTGACACCTTCACATTTCTGCCTAGTGCTTTCAGCACCTGGGAAAAAATGCACCATTCTGAAATATATTGTTATCAACATAATGCCTAGCACTAACTTTAATATTGACATTTTTTTACCATGGTAGGGACTCATCTTCCTCATTTCCATGCTTATTTGATCACACACTTCTCATTAACTTAATTATGACATCAGGATTTTTAAAGTTCTAAATACAAGTGAGCAAATTTTAGTTTAACATAATAGATACAAAGATACAGAGCAAGAATATTAGTAATTAAGAGAAATATATATTTTCTTATTGCAACCTTAATACTCTTATATTAAGACCCTTTTCTCCCTTAGAACGGCCCCAGATTCTAAGAGTAAGTTACATGAGGGCTTAGGCCTAAATAAATCATTTGTATTACCCCATCCAAGACTCATGGAGAAGAGGAGACAAAGAGAATGTAAAAGCCAGAATATAGGGAGGAAGCCAACAAAATCCCATCCTCTGGACAGAGATTCAGCCAATGGAATCAAGAACTCTGGGGACTGGAGAAATGCCTGAGAGGTTAAGAGAACTGACAGTTTATCTAGACATTCTCAGTTCAATTCCCAGCAACCACATGGTAGCTTACAGCCATCTATAACGTGTTCTGGTGCACTTTCATGGCATACATGCAGGCAGAACATTGTATACATAATAAATCTTAAAAAAAAAATAGATTCCTACCTAATTTGCCTAGCAGTGGAGGCACCTTTAATCCCAGCACTCTGGGAGTTCAAGGCCATCCTGGTCTAGACAGTGAGTTCCAGAACAACCAGGACTACACACAGAGAAACCCTGTCTTGAAAAAAAGTTTTATCTCTCTTAAACTAGAAATAAAGATTGACTAAAGTGACAATAACAATAATAATAATAAAGCCATCAAATTCATTACATTCTGTGGTAGACTAATTCTTGAGGGATTTATCCCTCTCAGTATTCAAGGGTAACTCTGAGCAGGGTAGTAACCCCACTTTTGTGGGGAGCTTCAGTTGAATCCAACTGACTTGCCCAGTCTGTACCTAAGAAAAGGGGTGTGGACTGAAAAATGGCAGGTAGCAAAATTAAATATACTATGGACAGAGACACAGAATAGAGTTGTGAGGACATCCAGTGAGTACTGGGACATGCCTTACGCTTACTGCTCAAAATTCTTACATACCCCAACCAAAAGGGCAGGAAAGGCAAAAGGCTTTATCATGATACAAGGAACAAACAGAGGTAATTCTCAAAACATTTAGTAACTACACCTTAGATCAAACCATTGTTATCTAGCCTTGAGGACTAAGAGCAACCACGCCTTAGACCAAATCTCTTGTTATCTAAGTAAGACATCCACACCTTAGACATCCACCAGGAGCCATGCCTTAGACCTTTACTCTCAGGACTTTGACCTTTCAAGAGCAAGGATAGTTTTGCACTCTCTGACCTTAAGTCAAGTGAAGCAGAACTATTTCTACGGGTCCCAAAAGAGCAGGACATACATTCTCTCTAGTACATGATGCTTTTGGATGAGTCCCAAAGAAAGGTGACCAAACCGGATTACCACCGTGTTTTTTAACCTAAATAGGTTGATAATAGTTAACTGTGAATGTATTTCTAGTCAATATACCTTCTATTCTTCAAAATAAGACTTTTATTTTGACCACATCACTTTCTCTGAGTAGGTTAAAAATATATAATATCCAATTAAGACAGATTTCATTATCTATCTATTTATCTATCTGTCTGTCTGTCTGCGTGTCTATCTGACAACAAGAGTAGCTTTTTCATCAGTAAATTGAAGCTCGTGGGGTTGGGTTTCCATATGCATCCTCCGGGGCACACTCAGAATATGAGATTGGCTTAGAAGGAAATCCTATAGCAAATGTCTCATAATGACAGTATTAACAAGTTGTAAGGACATATGAGATCATCTTACACAGAAAGAAGACGGGACCTCCAGAGGTTAAGTGGTTGGCTCCAGGTCACATAGCTGGTACCCAAGGCTTCCATGTTCCTGACCCTTGTCACAGTTTTGTGTGACAGTCTTCTAAAAGCAAGGCTACTGGAAAGTAATTTGTTGTTTGGGCGGGTGTTTTTTTTTCCCCCTTCTTAGGGTTTCAGCGCTGACACTCTTTTGCACATTGCATCAGGTGCAAGCCTGGAAACTCTGCCAGGAGCAAAACAACACTCCTTAAATACCCTGCGACTCTCAGAGCCACATAAAATAAAAAGGGTGAAGCTAGTGGTTGCCAGCTTGCGGGGAGGCACTCCTGTTCGGAGCCAAATGTTTCTGAAGAACAGATGAGACTGTGGGACTGGAGTTGGCAAAAAAAAAGAAAGAAAGAGAAATTAGTTTATTCTTTTTGAAAATGAAACTAGAATAAATATCTGGATAGTTTAGGTGTTATTAATATAGCGATTTGTCCCACTTAAAACAGTGAA